CCTGCACCAAAATGCTAACACACCGTGACCACAAAGTTTTTACAAACTCCTTGCATGAAGGGCTGCACAAACAATTATGTATCTCCAATTGCTACAGCCATCCTGATACAGCAAAACCATGCCAAAGATATGTGGGCATGAGTAATGATGCTCAGGAAAAAGTGCAGCATGCTGCTCTTTAGACATTGAGAAAATGTATCTTTATATCTCTAATATCAAAGATTCTATGGACACTATATATGCTTATCTCTACTTTCAATTTAAATATTAATGCATTTAAAACTACAAAGCCACAAGACAGTGCATTTTTAATCTATGATTGCATCACAAAACAGATGATGGGTCCAATAAAATACCGAAAAAATTACTTCACTGTCACTTTAAAGAAATATACTAATCTAACAGTAGAATAAGGAAGAAAATGTATTTAACTGAGAATGAACTGGACAGGAAAAAAATACAGGTTTTTAGGTAATGACATAACCTAACTTCTTCCATCTGTCATTATTTCTTGCAAACACACATACACACAAAAAAGTACTAGAGTTTTAGGGAGAAAATGTAAAATTTCCAATGCAACTTGGTTGCTCCAGTTATCAAGAAATAAACTTAATCAGTTGTTCTACTGAAGATTTGCCAAGAAATCAAAAATCTCTATTCAGAAGTGTAATAGTAACAGCAAACTAGCTATTGTGATTTTACACAGCAGATATTTGAATATGCTGGTATATCCTCTCTAGATACATCTCAATTCTCATAGATGTGTGTTCTCTCAAGCATACATGATCTTGCATACACTACCACTTAGTAACAAAACAAAAAAATAAACTTCATGGTGGAAAAAAAGCCTTTAAAATCCTTGTCAAATTAAGTATCACATTTTCACTGGAATGGTCAGTTTAAAGATCCATTTAGCTATCATTCCATAAGCTTGTCCATAAAAATCATACATTTTGCCATAGGTAGAAAACAAATATAATTTGTCACATGTTGTGCTATACAGACATTTCTGCACAGTTGCTGCACTACACTAGAATGTCTGAAGGGGAAGACACCCCAGGTAGTTGGCTGCAGACACATCTCAGCAACATGGCACGTAGTTACAATTTGACACATAGAGTCTTTATAAATCCAATGTCTATGAAGTCAAACAAATCCCCTTCTTATTTATAGTAACAGGCGAGAGCAGATCTCTGCCGTCTTGTTACACAGATGGTTGTAACATTTTTATAGTTAACTTACAACCACTGATGCCTAAGGAATAGACACACATCTGCCCCAAACTGCCAGTCCTGTAGGCTCTTCTTTTTAACTTTAGCTAGCAAAAATACAGTAGAAATACATCTAACTGTGTCACCACCAAAAATCTACCACAACAAAAGGCCCCACACAAATTTGCATAAAATGTATTATTATTGTTAATGTTATACAGATTGGACATTGATCACATACATTACAGCAAAATTACAGTAGTATCAATTGTAACCACAAAATCTGAGAGAAAATTCATAGTCCAACATTCCATATGCTGAACTTTGGAAAAATGTTTAGAAAGAAACTCACTAGAAGCTTCTAAATTCTTGTTTTATTTGAAAGATTTTAAAAGCGCTTTATATTTCATACAAATTACTGTTCAAATGCTTTTTTTTTCTTTTAACTGCTTGATAAGACGTAAAGGCATGTCTGGCTGATCTTGAAAAAAAGAAAGAAATCGCCTAGGATTTTCTTCTCCCACTTGAAGATACTATTCCATGCTTGCTGTCTTTCCACATATCACCTGGGTCTTCAACGGGAAAGTACACAGAAAAGAGCTAAGCTATATAATTAAATGCTTCCCATTTTAGATACTGGCTGTCCACAGAAGCAATCCTCTAAATAGCTAACTTACAATCAAATGCTTGTTTTACGAGAAGAACAGATGCAGAAAAGTAAAGCCATAATTGAACCTTGTAATGGTAAGAGTTGTTAAATGAGTTCAGGGAAAGCTTAAACAGCCTGATGAAATCCTGACCCATGGCAGCTTGGGCAAATAATACTTATTCATAAATATGTTCAAACAATAATAGATCTGGGCAGGTTCTTGTTGTTTTCTTCTTACTCTTCAAATTGGAAGAGAAAAGAGCATGTGAGAAAGTGGATCTGCATTTACAGAACTGGTCTAACTACAGAGGTGAAAATGCATGCCTGGGAATTCAGCTCAGAAGCAGATTAAGGAAAGAATGAACCAACTTCATGTGTAGCAAATTAATTTGGCTTTGGATTTTACTTCATCAGGAAACTATTCAAATTATGTAGAGTGGGACACCAAAAAAAACCCCAAAAAATAGTTTTGCTTTTAGTTTTGCTGCATATTCTTTTTATTCTTGGCTAGTCTCTACCTCTACAGCTGCCTTATAAGAAAATCTGTACTTTCTGTTACCAGCTAATTTCTACTATGAACCCAAATTTACAGAATAGGAATTTGAAGAATTTAATAATACAGTTTGCTTTGAGGTTGAAAATTTATAAAAATAGACTCTGCTACATAACAGACAGGAACTTATTTCTGCAAGATTCATATCCATGAAATTACACATGATGACGAACTCCAACTGGACTTTTAACACGTCACCTTAGTCCTGCAAACTGTATCTTTCAAATCAAGTTCGTCTCAGTAGCATGTGACAACTGTACTGTTTAAGATGGACATCTAATTCTTTAATGCCATATTTCACCGAGTGAAAACACACTGAAAGGACTGGATATTTCCATTACACTGAAAAGGCTGATTCCGCATCCTGTTTAACAACTGCAATTTAAAGCAATCTCTTTCACAGAAATTTGCTTATTTAAGTTTGGACTTAAACATTTTAAAATTACATTTGCAGCACTTATTCACATAGAGATAGGAATGGCACCAAAAGACTTGTTCAGTTTCAGGAGTGCAACTATTATGACTGCCAAAACACTTTTGCTCCAGAAGAAATTCTGACTGATCAATTAGGCATTACTTCTTCCACAAAACAGTTATATCAGGGCCTGTCATACTGTCCCTGGATGAAACAAGTACAGAGATTTCTTCTCAGACAAATATCACAGTACCTCATTACTAAAATGCAAATGTTGGATCCCAAGTTTAGCCAAAATCATTTTAATACAAGAAATTTTAAAGCAGTTTAGAGTATCAGTCTTGTCACTTATTAACTGGATTTTAAATTAATAGAGTGAAAGATAACAACTTTTAACATATTTGTATATGTTAAAAGAGCTATCTCTTAAACTGCTGGTACTGTTCATGTTTAGAACTCCTGATAATCTCTGCCATATTTATATATTCTAAAATATTAAATTAGACAAATGCTATTACTGCCCTATTTTCTCTATTGTCTGCAAAACAGCAGCAGAAGGTAAGGCATTGCCTGCAGCATGACCACTCTGCTTTCAAACCACTTCTGTGTTCTGGATTAATGCTTTCAGTCTTTTTTAGTGTATAATCATGGCTGCTGCAGCAGAGAACGAGCAACATTTTCCAGTAGATCCATTTTATTTATTAAAAATAGATAGAGGAAAGGTTACCCTAAAAACTTGCAAAGCACTTTTAAATTATAGTGAATACTCATAATTCTACAGAAGAGCAGCTAGGAGGAAAAAGAGGGGGAACATTTTTTTCTCCTGAATGTACCTCAAATCCTCAATCCTACACATGGTAAGAATCCACCACAACTAAAAAAATCAAAAGGGAGGTGAGATAAATGGAAAGATTGTGTGGTTACGCAGGTTAGGGATGCAGTTGCAGCATTTTGAGTTTCTTTGTTCTCTCAGCTATAAATGATGATGACTATACAAGGTTACAGCAAAACAAGATGAGGTACTGACAGAAATCTGAAAGAGAAGAGGAAAGAAGTGGTTCTGGCTGACTGAAATGAACACATGAAGTGCTTGCAAGAAAGATGATTATAGACAGAGAATAAAGAGATGGCATAAAAAAAAAATCAATACTTTAAAGAAGTGAGTGTACAGGACTGGCTGCTTTAATACATGCAAGCTCTGCTCCTCTCAGGTGGTCAGTGATGAAAAAAAGCAAACAGAATTTTTCCCAGTAAGGGCTGTCAAGTCTAAATAAAGTTAAACACAATGAGTTAAAATGCATTTTGCCTTTGACTACTGACAAGAGGTAGCCAGGATGACTGGACTTGCAGAGTTCGCTCTCAGCCTCCTCTACTTCATCTTCTACCTCCACAAGCACATCAAAACTCCCTCCATTGCCTGTTACACTTAATGTAGAGTGGAAAACAGAACAAGAAAGCACAGATGAACTTTCTGGAACCAAAATGAAAAGACTCCACAGTGATCTTTGTGGAAGTCTAATCCATATCAAAGCACAAGCTATTATCAGTCTGGATACTCTGGCCAGAAGAGTCAATTGATATTGGCGGAAATATTTCATACTGGTCTTGCTGCAGCTGCCCCCAGGTCATCCTGAGGAAGTCACTGCTTCTCTGAAAGGTTAGTGGTGCCTGAAAATTGTCAGTATTTCTCTGGTTACTATGATTTTCAGAAAGATTTGTCTGTTTATACAAGTTAAATGATCGCAAACCCCAAAAATACAACTATTACATGGCATAATGGAACCCTTATCTGTACTCTACATTCACATCACTGAATAACCTCCTCCCTCTTTTCTCCCCAGCCCCCCCCTCTTTTTTTTTTAATATGGTAAGACTATTCATACAAGTTAGAGCAGAGAACAGCCAAAGCAGCCTACACACATATGTACTAGGTTTAAATTCTTTGGAAGACTATGTTGTTCAAGCTTTCCTTTTATTTATCCAAAATGGCACAAGCAAAAGATGTTAAAAAAACCAACTTGACAGAATGTTTGATTGGGGAGGGGAAAGGAGTGGTCATTTCATAAGGAAAGAATATTACTTCCACAAAACCTTGTGTCATTTTTATGTTTACACAACGTAACTGGTACAGTTGAGCGTATCACATACTGACAGATTAACAGGATCTCCTACCTTGACTTCATTCTCTCATGCATTCTCCCATGCTGGATACACTGTTGGTCCAATTCATCATTCCGTTTCTGCATCTTCTCCAATCTGCCATGAAGATACTCTTTTTCCTGACTAAGCTGGTTGACTTCAGATCTACAGAAGTAAAACAAAGCGATGATGGATGTTGTCAGATTTCATCCTGCCGTGAGCCATCAATATGTGGCTTCAGCATTTATAAAATTTCATACATATATATGTAATGCATAAACAAGCTATTACTAGAACTTATGGAAACAAAATGCTGTTTCATATAATCTTAAAACAAAATAATACAATACTGATGGATATCTTCTAAATATGCCACTGGAAATCACTCAGTTATAGGTTGGCTATGCTAATTTCAGCCTAATTTAAATAGGCATGCCTGTTTATGCATTGGCGTTAAATAAGATCAATAAATGTAAATTCATACTTGTTAAGCAAGAATTTGGCTAACATTCTGAAAGCAAATTTTAACCTCTTTACTAGAAAAAATAACATTTAGTTTAAAAAAACAGCTACTAAAACCTTGTTCAACCTTTACTCTGCTTTATAGGTTGAACCCTCAAAAGTTCGCAGGTTGAACTCTCAATAGTAGTACTGTTTCAGAAACTTTAGTAACGTCCTATGTCTAAAATAACATTGCACAGATTAAAAAAAAAAATCAACAACAAAACTCCATAAACCCTTCCCCCACAAAAAAAACCCAAACCCAACCAAAAACCCAAAGCCTCACTAAGAGGAGAATTAACAAAACTTTAAGAAACAAGGGACAAATCATACAGGCACATCTAATCTACATAATCTACATAAAAATCAGCACAGCCTTTAAGAATATTAGTCACTTCTAAGCAATTCTTATTCTTCACGGGTGAGCAGAGACACCAGATCCATGAATGACCTGGGACTGCTACTTGCTACATCTCTAACCATCAGCCCATGGAGAAACAGGCATGAGCTGTTTCTTAATATCAGGAAAAGACCTCAGATTAAATTGTGATAAAATATACATTATGCACTTGTTCAATTTTAACTCTTTGGAAAAGGTTAATGAGAACATGTCAGAATCTGCTATACCATCAGAAAGTACAAATCAAAAGCAAGAAAATTTATGGCATCTGTCACTCCATACCTCAAGGTTAAAAAGCTTTAGATATATCTTTAAATCATAAACTTAAATATGCTGCAATTACAGCAGAAAGATACTTTACCTTCCTGGCTGTTATAGAATGCATCAACAACTGACATTCTGAAAAACACAACAAAGTGCAGGGAGGAAGGAATAGTCCTCTTTCAAAAACATGTTGCTACATTGACAAGTCAAATCGAGAAATGACAACATGATCTTTTCATGTTTAAATAGAGAACAATGCATGGTATCATCTGTGAAGCTAGAAGAATTTAGCAAGAGAAACTTTAGAGAGAGACCGTATATAATTGAATTTAGATTGAGAGTTACAGCTCTATTAAGGAAGATCAAACACAAATACATCAGAATTGTGCTGATAGATTTGTACATCAAACTTCAGTGCACACGAGTTTCCTGGATGGGTACATAATAGTGGGCAGGATGTTATAGGAAGGTAGCAGGAACTGAATTTTTCCACCAATCATTTTATATAGAAATACTAGTAACTTAAATATCAGCATTAACAAAGCATTGCCAGCTGGACCAACTGTTACCACACAATGTGAATGCAGTCTGTGCTTGATACTGATACTGTAAGACAGACAACCAGTGGATAAAAGCAAAGGTTTGGTTCACTGCAGAGCAGCTCAAAGAGACCTGACAATAGGAATAAATTTAATTCCGCATTCCTTTTTTGGCAGTAAAATTCAGCAACAGCATTTGCCATGTAGGAATATTTTAAATTATCACATTTGTAGGGTTCCCCAACTAGGAGGTCCTGTTTCTTTTCCTGTATTTATATGTGACTGTCTCATTCATGGAAACAGCAGAAGCAACTTTCAAGGTGATAAAATTCTGTAAGTTTTACAAAGATTTATTCATCTCCATCACACTTGAAGGCGTCCAAAGTCTTTCTGGAAAGATCAAGCAATTCCAATCAACCAAGACCAAAACACTATTGAAAATTATAATTAATGAAACAATAGTAAGTAATGAATTAATTACAAACATGAGTATCATAATCTCCAATCTCTAGAATAGAGCTCTAAATGCCTGATGCTTTGAAGCACGTTTTAAGTGTTGTCTTCTCCTGAAACATCTTTAATCTTTTAATTACAATTAAACACAGAGAAAAAAAAAATCCTAATTATGACATTATTTACACAATGCCCTCTCCATGTAACTATCTAAGAGTTTGACCACCAAGACTCAAGTATTTAATGACACTGAAGTTTTGAAGGACAGCACATATTAAGGACAGAATGGTTAGGTCAATGTTAAAAGGTTCATGTGTGCTGGCATTAAAGAGAGAACACCAGTCCAAACAATACTGCATACCAAGAGTCTTCCATCATCATTTGTCAGTGATTCCCTCTGCATCGTTAAACACACCTTTCATCCACCTCAGTTTCCAAACATTAAGATAAGACAGCTAATTCTATGTGATATTTAAATAACTTCACACATTGTTTGGTTAAAAAAAACAAACAAAGAAATCATAATAGTAATAAGCCTGATAACTGTACTGAATGTTATAGCACATTCATACAGGAGTAGGAATTCTACCCAGCCAGAGGCGAGACCAGTCCTGTGCAAATGCTCCTGAACAACTCTGCTCCCAAGGTATCACAGCAGGAAAAGAGAGGGGAGTAAGTGTCAAAGCACACAGTGCTGAACTTCAGAGATAGTTCACTCGTGATGCTGGGGTCAGAGGCAAATTAGAGAAATCTATGCACTAATCACTGTGTCTGATGGATCCCTCAAAACTAAAGGACACAACATGGATGTGCTGATATTGCTCAACCAGAGCTACTCTGGGTCCAACAGTCTGAGCAATAAGCTGTGGTGGATTCAGTAGAAACTGAAGCATGCAGGCATTCAGAGTGCTGTCATCAGAGTTGAACTCAGCAGGAAGGCAGACTCAGGCTGGCCCCACAAGTCAGGCAGTCATGGATCTGTGCATGCTTCTGAGATCTGATACACTCAAATGACCTGTATGAAACCACTGCTACTTTGAAACTCCACAGAGCAAAGCCACATGAAAATGTAAAATGCATGCTTGTAATCGGATGTATAATAGATTTTGCCAAATCTCATTTACTTGTCACTGTATCAAAAATAACTGATGGGGGCAGGAGCGAACAATAGCAACAAAAATCCCTCTATACTTCTGGATCCACTTAACGACCTCAACTTCCATTTAAAAATCACTATAGTATTATCTACCATCTTTGCTGGAAGAATCTGGGAAAAAAAACCCCAAAGATGTTAGCCTCCAAAACACTTAAATACTAAAGGCAATAAAACGAGGAAATGTTAAATCATCACAATTCTAAGTCAGTCTTAGGGTATCTTTAGGATCAGCTGATTTTTGAACACTGAGGTGGCAATGCTGCCTTTACTCCTCTGAACTAGGTTTTGCATTTCAGTGCTTTTTAAATACTGCCTTTTCCTGCTCTTAAAACCAATTGTTTATTTGCACAGAAATTAAATACATGCCCTAAAATATTTTCTGCTGATGCAGTATTGTTGCATCTAATTTTAATGATTGCACCTTCAGACAGACTGTTCCCTATCTTCATACAGCTACCTTCAACAAACATTTCACTCCTCATATTGAGTGCAACAACTGCGGTCAACCAAATATGCAGAAAAATAGTTCAGCCGGGTATGTGTTCTTTACTTCAATTAAACTCACACAGTTGGATGCCTACTGTTGCCAAACCAGTAATATAATTTATACATTATAGTCCAAACAGTAAAACTACACTAAAAGTCATTTAACAATATTTATAACACCATAAAATACAGTGTTAAAATATATGAACTGCAATATGTACCAAAATTATAAAATTTGTTTCTCATCATCAGTGATTAAAACCAGGATCATTGCTCTAGCTTCAATACTCACAACCCTGGTGACAGATTAGAATTCAAATCTTAATGATCAATTTACAATTAACAAGATAGAAGTGAAACAAATTAAACCAACCATTATATATAACGAGACCCAATGGACTCCCATTGTTCCCCTTAATTACAAAACGCAAATCACAAATACACAGTGGGTAGTGTTAACCATTAATCTACAACCTAGAAACTCAGAGAGTGACAATCAGAGGAAAAAAAAGAACAAACCAAGAGAGAAACAGAGAAGAAATCAACAAAGGACTATATTTTTAAACATGCCTATGCATACGAAAACCTTCACAGACACTATCTTCTTTCTGCACAGCTTGAGGGGTTTATAATTCGTCTGACATTGTCTTTCTGACGCCTTTCTGTGTAGGGACTAGCTCAAAAAATGGTTCCAGCTTACATATAAACACAAAAACTTCAGTTTAGATTTCTCAGAAAACCTGCATTAAATATAAAAATATATGTGCCATTCAGATGCATTCCACTGAAATTGTAGAAATATGTAGCTGTCACAGATAAATTTGAAAAGCCTCTTATTACAAATGGGTTCTTCTTACCAAACCAAACAAAATTTAAATAAACTTACTATTGCATCTGTTATTGAAAGAGCTTGAGTGTTCCACCAATTAAATAATGGTATTGGTAGCATATAGATAGTTCTTAAACCCATGGAAATTAAGGCACAAGGACTCTAGAAGTACAGCAAGAAAATACACATGCAGCCCAAAATTCAGTTTATGGTAAGGTCAAAAATATGGAAAAAATGAAAAAGTAGTTTCTGTGAAAATAGGGCACACTACTGCTTTGCAATCTGCTTTTATTAATGCATGTAAGAACTAAGTTATAAAATCTTTCCCAAATTATTGCTTTTTCTAGAAGACAAATCTACAGTATTCTGTCCCAGAATGCGGTTTTACACTACATTGAGTGACAGTGAGCTGAAGATTGCAATTCAGAGAGGTGCTACTGAGAGATACATGACGATCATGCATTTAGAACTTGGCTAAAATAATTTTCTGCATCTAATCTCCTGACCACTTAGTGAAGCCATCTATATTAGTCTGTCATTTTCCACCATCTCCACTTCCACCTTGCCGTTCTCATTTTTACCTTCTATTTTTTGTCTCTACCTATTTCTCTCTCCCTGTTACTGACTGCAGCAGCTCCTACTCCAATGAAGGCAAGCTCAAGCTATTTTAGGACCACTTCTCAGAACCACTTTCATGCATTCTTTCTTATAGCTTCTTGTGTAAAAAATACCACTTCCTGGAGATGCAAGAGGGCTCCTTTTCCCATTTTCAGGTCCTTGACAAAGTCAGCTAATGCTGCTAGGTGGAGAAACACTTGGCAATCTCTGGTATTTATTTTCAGAGAATAATGTGTTTTCACAGTATGTTTTCTGTCTTTCCTTCATCCTTTACAGTTACTAGTCTGTGACTGTGAGCTCTAGCAACAAAGTCTGTGTGCTTTTTTATTGCTGGAATAATAATATGATTTGAATCCATTTAGATTTTGCATTACTTCAGCAGAAGAGCTCTGCTTTTTCAGAGGAAAAATTGTTTGCTTCTCTTTCAAGTAACCTTCACAATGGGAAGATTGCTTACAGTCCCTCAAGTTTCTTATTTCCTCCCCAAACACTCTGGATGGGATTCATCTCTCAATTTCAGCCACTTCATATTCAGGGGGAAGTAAGATGGGCAGTGGAGGAAGTATCCGTGGGAAGCATCATTTATTATATTTATTACACACACACACGTGTATATATATATATATATATATATATGTCTGTCATCTACTTAAATCATTCCCCTTTGACCATTCCTAGGAAGAGGGTACTGGGGTAAACAAGCTCTCTCCCTGAGTGAGTGTTGCCTCTTTTACAGTACCTCAAGAGGATGATTAAATACACCCAGCAGAAGAAGAATCCTCTCTTGAAAACCAATTTTGTCTTTGCTGAGTGTTTTCCTTACTTCCCACCAGCCATGAGTTGAATACTAGCCTTAATTAGCAAATTCACTTTGCATGTAATTTACAGAAGCTACAGAATGCCAACTCTCCACTGAAGTCCAGTTTACTACTCCAAATATGAACCAAAAAAAAGTTTCAAAATATACTATTTTCACACTTTATTATTTGCTATTTTCACACAAAATTATTTGCTGCTGAAGAACTACAAAATTCACATTTTCTTTAGAAGATAGTTCTGTCTTACAGAACTTTTGAATAGATACCTCCATAGCTTTGTATTTCTATAAATTATTACTACTCCCACGTTTTAATGGCTTTGATTTTAGATCTGCTGTTGATTGATAACAAGCAGCAGCAGCAGAATCAGGGTATCAGTAAAAAGCAATTTTGATGACAATTATTTTATAGACAATATTCAGTGTGTAGTGTAGTACTGTGAAAGGAGCTTAAGTAAATAATTAAAATGAGAACAGTTTTGATCAACAAATCATTGAATTTTTAGCATTTTTCATATAACTTCAGATAAACTGAAATTGTAGCTTTTTAAACAATTTTCTATTCTTTATATTAAGAATATGAACACCAGGAAGAAAATACTATACAATTTTCACATTGGAATTGTCCAAGAAATTTGAATTAACAGTCAGAAACATAATCTTAAAGGGCATTTATTATACTGAATTCTTAAGGGGCATATATTACATTGGTATGATATATAATACCTGGAAAAAAATGAAAAATAATAAATACTAAAATACTAATCAAAAAATAAAGAAGCATGTCGCATTATTAAAAGTGTCAGGTTAAGAAAAATATACTAACCTGTATTTTTCTGACATTTGTTCCAACTTCCTTGCCAACACAAAATATTCTTCCTTTAATTTTGCTATGAATGTATTCTGGGAGGTCAGCAATGAATCCAGTTCTTCTACTAGAAACCATAAAATTATGATACTATAAAATAACAACTATAGAAATTTATAGATAACATAGAAGTAATTTTATATATTCCTGATTTCTTTCTTATAGTTCATTCTAGTTTTGAAATGTTTTTTAAACTTCAGCTACTTGGACATCATCACTTACCAAATTAAGGCTCTATGTCAGAATTAGCTGAAGTGTTAAAGCAATGTTGCCACTGAATCTGGTCTTGTAAGAGAAGCATCACTGTGAAGACTAGATATCTAATCTGGTGGGCTTGCTTTTTAGCTAGAAGTTCACTGACATTTCTAGGAGGAATAAAATTGGCAAGCCATGTTTTAGCAGACTTGCTTCCTCAACTGGTGCAGAGGATACACCAGCAACCCAAATGCTCACACTGCAGACTCATTCCAGTATCTCCTTAAAACAGCAGTTCTTTTATTTACTGTGTCCTGAGCTTACCATGAAAAATGTAATTTTTTATTCTTAAATGACAGGATTTAGACTTACTGCCCAGGGACAGTTGAAATGAAACCATTTTGTAAAGTAATTTTCAGCTACTATCAGTTTGGACTGCACCTAAACTCATGACCTAGAATCCAGGTATCTTTATTATTTCAAAAGGAAGATACTGCAAAATTATGTTTCTTGATTTCTGCTTTTAAAAGCAGTGAAAGCATGACCACTCTTACCCAAATTCCTTGTATGTGTGTAGGGTCATAATAAACAAGGTTTTCTTTATATACATTATAAATTACTATAATTTTCCAATTTCTTCTAATCCTACTAGAGATAGATAAAAACAGACCCAGACATAATATTGTTTCATTGTTGTATACTGGGACAATTTATGCATCAGGAGGGTAAATTACATTTCTCTTGTGCAAAATTACACATGGTCATATGCAGATGTGCTGGCTAAAGGAAGAAAAAATGATTCTGAGAGCTTCTTTTCTTCTCCTATAGTGTAGACAGCAGCAGCCATAATGTAGCTGTTTGCATTCCCTGAACACATGGTGAGGTCCTCTAGTACTGTGATAATACCAAAAAAGATGGAAAATTGAACAGCAGATATAAACATGCCTGCTACCTTACGTATCATCCAACACTCCTTATAATTAATATATGTTAGACAGTTTTCCTGAAAGTATTGCATGACTAGTGGGTAAATATGGTATTTTGTTAAACACATAAGTATATCACGTTCTTTAACAGCTGAAGCTCCTCCTCCTTTCCATGCTCATGGGTTACAGATTTCACCTCTTGAAAATTCCTTTTCTTTTTTTTTTATTTGTAATATGGACCTCTATTAATATTGTTGCCATAGTACTTCATAATAGAAAAAGCACATTTTTGTTTGTTTGGAAAAGCCATTTTATTTCAAGATTAAAGTTAGATGTTATTGATGGGCTAAGTCAATGCAATGAAGTCTCATATTATAAGAACCTGAAATACACAAGGGATTAAACATCTTTCTTCTCAATTGAGGATGGGGGGGAGGTGCACATGGTAATGCTAAAAATGTTTGAGGCTGCAAAGATTAAATAAAGGAACATATCAATTTGGAGCCAGTGAATTACATCCAGCTGCGACAGTGAATTAAGAACCGATTAATGGCTAAAGCTTTTCTCCAGTTTGGATGCCGAAGCAAACTCATTAAGCTTTTAGAGTAGCTATAATGTGTGTACTGTGGGAACTGTTCAATGCTATTCAGGAGACTTTAACTGTAAGCTCAGAGCATTTCCCGCAGAGCTTCTGATGCTATTTTCTTTATATAACATGTGTGCCTGAAAATCCAGCCAAAAACAAGCCCTTTGTTTTTCTACTTTGTTGTGGTCTCTCTCAGCTTTACGTTTCTTGAACACAGGTAAATAAACTCATAATCCAGATGGTGCAGCAGATGTGAGAGCAGCACTCTGAAATCAACAGACAGTGGGCAATACTTTCCATTTTCTCTTTTAAACGCTAACTAATATGTAATTCGGAATCTCCGGTGTAGTTAGCATCTGCTCCCTTCGGCCAGCCAAAGGTTACAGGTGTTCCTGATGTCATTTCACAGTAAGGCGTGGGCCTGGCTTGTGAGTGAGTGCCCAGGCTCTAATCTTTCCCTACCACCTACCAGTTTTCTCATGCTGGGCCTCCATTTGCTGCATCTTCTGTGTCAGCTCCTGCTCTCTTTGCTGGGCCTGAAGGGCTCGGGCCTTTGCTTCATTGCTAATGCTGTGCTGAATGCTCTCTTTCTCCAATCTATAAAAAAACCAAATAGGAAATAAAGAAAAGTAGAAATCATATACTGAAGAGGATAAATTAAAAGGGTAAAGCAGAACATTCAAACAACAATAACAAAAATCTGGCCAAGCTTTTCACATTAAACATTGTCCTCCCACTTCAGGTTATACAAACTGACCTTTCTCTTACAATGTCAAACATCCTCCAGTGACTACTAGAAAATGGATTAAAAGTATGATCTATTTCCTGAGAGAAAATTGGCCCTCCAGACAAAAATAGGATTTTATTTTAAAAAAATTTAAACATGACTCTTTTTTATAAGGAAGCTTACCAGAATTCACTTTGCACTGAACATATTATTTGCATTTTCTTTTAAATGCTATTTGTTTAATTCTGCAATGAAGCTTAGGGATCTGACCCCAAGATGGACTGGTTCCCAATGAATCAGCAGGAGATAAGTCAATGGGAGCAATTTCACAGTGCTCGTGATACAGCTACTCTGAAAGCTTAATGAGTTTTCTTAAGCAACCAAACAAGTTTTAACTATTAATTTATGTAAATAGGAGATGAATGCATCCATTACAATAGAGTAGACTGCTAGCACCACACAGGCCCAGCCCCTTGTGGTTCTGCTCACTGGGGGGTTGTAGAGGAAGGTCTAAAGCCCAGTACTATTATTAAAGTATGCAGGCAAGAGAGCAATTTACTTGACCAGATATGCAAGATGGGGCAATCCACTCCTGAGGCAAAACAAATGCTAGACTACCACACTCCATTGAAGCATTTTATTTAATGCAAGCCAAGCAAAAAGAGCATGGAAAATAAAACCCCAAAAAGATACATGCATATAAATTAGAAAAGATCCTGCACTGCAAATTCAGATCTAAACTTTCCCAAAGGTCGTGAATATTTATCTGGTGAACATTGGGATCAACATTTAAAACGTCAGTGAGTTCACACATACAAGGATTGATTTCTAGATTTCAAATGACATGAGGAAACACATTTCTACTGAAATGACATTTTATAGGTTGAGATAGGCTTTAAAAAAGTCTTATAAACATGTTTTATTCTAGGGATATTACCTATTTCAGAGGACTACAAAACAGAACACAGGCACAGATCATGTAAGGATAAAGCCACATCTCATGTGGTTGCTGCACTTAACCTTTGGATTGGTGCCTAATAACCCATCCGAGATATTGCAGTATCACAGCATGACACACACAATGTTAAATCTTCTCTCTCAAATTTACCCCAAAGCAATACAAATGGTGGGTCACATTACACTAATTCCTGGTCCTGATGTTTCAGGCCCTACCTTAGGCAAAACTCCCTTGGAAACCACAGGCAGTTTCTCCTGAGGTAAGACAGCAAATATGTTTAGATAGCAAAAATATTAGAGCGTTAAGGAAACAAAGCACATTTTAAAAGGAAATTTCATATATTGAACGGCACTTTATCACATCACTCTCAGAATTGCTTTGTAATCATATTGGGGCTATCCTAAAGAATGATGCTCCCATTATTTTTTCAGTGCAAGCTTCGAATATGGAAAGTATTACTAAGAATATTTTTCCCATATTTGCTGGAAACCAGTGTGTGCAAATCCCTTTATTTTACAATTTTTTTTTATCTTCAGAAAGTTATTATAAGCACTGGATAGCTCAAAAAACTAAAGGAAAAACAAGCCACCAGCATCTCTCACATTTCTCTGGCACTTTCAGCTAAAGAAAGTGTCAGTAGCACAGTATTTTATTTAATATTTCTCATGTGAGATGGCTGTGTGCAGTTGGGTGCTGTGCAGTCATCTGGTACACAGCTGGCTGGCTGGCTTTCTGCTGGGGGTAACCTTCAGCATGCAGCAAGCTACACTACCAAGGCAAACCTGTAAAGGTCCATTCCTCATCGCTAGGGCCCCTCCTGACAAATACATGCTAACCAGCAAGTTCAAAATAAATGGAGAATCTACTGCCACCAGAAACACTCTCCTGTGTAGGGGACCTATCCAAAAGAGCCATTCACCTGTGTCACATACTGCATAGAGCAAGCTAGCAGGAGCTCAGAAACCATAGATGTATGGTGAGTGCCTTATGGCTGAAGTGTGTATGGGGTAGTTGAAGATGAATTTATACAGCGAATAAAAGCTCAGTTGTAAAACTAGGAAAACACAGGTAATTCTTACACAGAAAAACAGCTTCTTAGAATTTAGAAAATTTTGGAATTAAAACATATCCAATGCCACACAGAGCAGTATCTGAGGTGCTTACAACTGCTCAGAAGTGAAAAAAAATATCCTGGAGCCAAATCTGTCTAAATGGCAAGTCCTTCATCCACACCTTGAGTTGAATCTGCTCTCTAAATTCAATTTAGAATTTTCCTGCCCTCCAACAGAAAATTTCCCAACACACATACGGAGAAGAAAAAAGAAAGTATAAAACATGCAGAAGGCAGCTCAAGAGATTTCAGGATCTAGTGGTAACTTTCCTGCTACAACCAACAAATACTGCAGGAGTTCTAGAAACTTTGACACAGTCTGTTCAATTGCAATTTCTTAAATCAATTCTTTGACAATTCAGAGGAAAAGAAAATCTATGGACTGTAGAGAGAAGGAAACAGTCCTTAGTCTCTCCACCATTAGTGTGAAGACATCAAATGTCTCCTCCTACAAGAACTTCAGAATTTATTATATTCACTAATGGAAAGCACAGGGACGATGTAAAGCAAAGCTACGACTGACTAATTTTGATGACTCAAGTAATATCTGAATCAGAAATGACAGCTGAAGATTGTTCCAGAACTTTTAAAAACTTCATCTATAGAGGTCAAAAATAGGAGATGAGTGGTTGAAGTGCACCAGCCTGTTCTCTACTTGAATTCAAACACTAGTTTTACTGAATACAAAACACTAAACACACTAAAATGCACATCTGATTGGTCACAAAACTACTGTTTTACTAAAGCAGACACATTGAACTCATGGAAACTTTCACTTCTGTGCGATAAAGTCAGAAGCAACCAAAGACTCAATTGTGGAGAATGCTCAAGCTCCTCTTGAGCCCTGTTCTGAAGTACAGGTTTTCCACAGTGATTTTAGTTCTAAATGCCTGTTTTAAGCCTGCATTGTGGCTGTCAAGAGCCATAGTTAACTGGTTTGCATATTTCAATGAACTTGATATTGGTTTGTAGTGCATGAAAGTTATGCCTTTCAAATGTTCTTGACAAAACAAAAGGCACTGTGAACTGTAGCTTATAGTACAGGAAGAAGAAAATTGCCTCTCTGGCAAACTTAAAAAAAATCCTTGTTGCAACTTAAGTGAAAATTCACTTTGATCTCAAAGCTAACATAAAAGTATGCTGACTGAATTTGAGTAATCAAATTTAATAAAAAAAACCGAAATAAAACCCCAAACCAAAATAACCCCCCAAATCAAAATACCTTTCTCACTAATAAACAAAAACTAGATCACAGATCTATTTACAAGAGGAGTCCACTCTCTGCCAAAGGGTTCTGCAATAAAGAAAAAGGAATTATGTAAAGACTAGTGACATAAAAGTCATATTTGACATAACTAAAAGCTCATCTATTTTTGATTAGAAAGAAACAGAACTTAGGTTGATAAAACTTTGAATTTCACTACACAGTTCAGTAGTATGTATTTCTGAAGGAGTCTTCTCAGTTTGGTAACAGTAAAAATACAAAAATAAAAAAGCAGGATGATTTTTAATGTAGAATCAGGCCTCTGACTGGAGGTTGCCAGTAAACCTTCTGGCAAAGCAACTACAGTTTGAAGCAACCATGCTTTCTATATTGACTATTTGATTTTTCCACAAGATTAATATGTGGCATTTTAAAAAAAGCTAATGGATCCATTAGTAAGGACTATGAACTTAATTAGACAAATTAAAATACTCTAGCAACTATCTCAGTTCATTGATACACAAGAGGTTATCATAGCATTATTTTTGACGTCTTCATTTCATACCATTATAATAAAAAATATTCCTCTAAAGCATGTTAGCTTTCATATATACTTGGTTTAACCTGAATTTCATGAATTATTAAGGAGTAGCTGCATTTAGTGTTCCAAATGCTTGAGCTATCCCAACTAACAAGACTTGTCTAAATGATGACCAGTTGCGGAACTCTGCACCCACACTCAGACTTGGGCAGCAGGAGGACCAGTCAAGTCTAACACTAATGTTTCTACCACCTGCCTCAGTGGTGAAGAACAGGCATCTTTCCTAGATAACACATAGTCAAGTGGGCCAGCACTGTGAGGCTCTGCACAACAAATTACTTCAGAAGAGAGAAAGGACTCAGATGAAGGCTCCCTTAGCTCTTTCAGAGGAAATGAGCTTTCTCTTCCAGTATTTTTGAAAATAAAAGTATAGCAGAAGATTCTCTACCAAACTAGAAAAGTTTTGAGGAGTTACCCAAGCATTTTATTCCCAGTATCTTTAGTAAAATCTGGCATGAAGTCCCTCAAAAGAATTAAAACACTTGAAAGTAGGGCTTGAAAGACTACATGTATTAGGAGCCCTAAAGACCAAATGACTTTGGGTACAAAGGCTCAGCAGTATTTTATGCAGTCTACTTTGCAAACTTTCCACAATACAGGTCTAGTGGACTGTCCATTATAAGCAGGTCTCTGAATCACTTTCTCATGGACTATTTAATCTTACTATTTCAGCTACAAGAGTCAAAGGAAGAATGGAAAATCAGAGCATATCCTTGCTCTTCTCTCAGGCTATAGGAGGAGAAAAAGCCAAACAAACTGCACATTCATGGCAAAAAGAAAAAAAGTATAAAAGCTGAAACAAGATGTCACAATACCTGACTTATTCTCTATGGGGAAACATGAGAAAATGTTTTGCTATCTCTATTACCAGACACTATTCAAAACTCACAATGATAAGGGTCCTTAGAGAAGGTACATAGAATAAGATCATACTTCACAAACTTCTTCCCCCTGTGTTTTTTATATATCTTTGTATGTATGTCATACACAGAAGAA